AATTTGTGCTTTTGCTGAGTCCTCTATGTCTTTGGCATTTTCGAAGAAGTGGCCTCTTTACCTGAGCACAAAAAACACTATTCTGAAGAAGTATGATGGCAGGTGATGTTTTATTTATTCACCCCCCCTGAATGTTCTAATCTTTGAGTAAATATTTCTTCCAGATTACTCAGATTTTTTATTTGCGGAAGAACTGCAGAATTCTTATCTTAGGAAGTTTATTACAGGTTTAAGGACATATTTCAGGAAGTGTATGAACAAAACTGGAAGGACAAGTTTGAAGAACATTCAATATGGTTCGATTTTTGCATTTTAGGGGATGTATGCTTAAGACTCTGTTTAGATATGTGAGAATATTTGATGGATTTTATGTCTAGGTATGAACATCGACTAATTGATGACATGGTGGCCTATGCTGTAAAGAGTGAAGGGGGATATGTTTGGGCATGCAAAAATTATGATGGAGACGTCCAAAGTGATTTACTTGCTCAAGGTGTTGTTTATGTTGAAAGCTTTAAACGATATCTAGCCTACACTGCCACACACAAACACAAACACACAGAGGGATACTGATAATTTACTTACATGCTTTGTCTCATTAATATAATAAATCATGCAATTTTTTGGACTGCCTACTGATAAGAATGGATATGTTTCTTTGTGTTAATAAGCTTAATCATTTACAAATCAATGCTTGAGTTTGAAATTTTATCTCAGTTTCTTGTGGAGTCTAAATGCATGTTTTTGCTATATGCAGGATTTGGTTCTTTGGGGTTGATGACTTCTGTGTTGGTTTGTGTCAAACGACTTTGTTTCTTATATATCTATATCAGTTTCACCATTTTGGCCATTGAATGCAAATCATTGTAATAACAAATTCTGCAGCTGTCATCTGATGGTAAGACACTAGAAGCTGAGGCAGCTCATGGGACCGTAACACGACATTTCAGGCTTCATCAAAAGGGACAAGAAACCAGTACAAACAGCATTGCTTCCTTATTTGCATGGACAAGAGGACTGGAGCACAGGTATCTTCTATTTTCTGTTTATCATCTTTTCTGTTTATCATTTTTCATTTGAACTTCCATGCAATTGCTTGCAGGGCAAAACTAGATAATAATGACAGGTTGCTGGACTTTGTTCACAAGTTGGAGGATGCTTGCATTGAGACAGTTGAGTCTGGGAAAATGACCAAGGATCTTGCCCTTCTAATCCACGGGCCTAAGTATGTTGCACTTTCTCTCAATATATTTTTTCCCATTGTTGATGTTTCCTATTATGATCTTCTATGGTACTCGATCTGGGGTGACTTGGTGTCTGTTACGGGCATGTGTAAGATACGAGTATATTCATTTTTCTTCTAAGCTTTTCCATGTATTTGGATGGTATTCGGAGGATTATATCATCATATACTCAACCGGGTATGCCTTTTCCATGGGGGTAACAACATAGAATTCAAGAAAAAATGAAGTGAACTTTACCCTGTCAATACGATCTTTCATTTGATGGTCCTTGCTTTCCACGTACCACTTTGTTAATGTCGTCTTTAAATGATCACCAACATGTAGTAAAACACAAATAAACAGTAACTTTATCTTTAACGCAGTGTGTCTTATGAATTCAGGGTAACCAGAGAGTTTTACCTGAACACGGAAGAGTTCATTGATGCCGTTGCTGTAAACTTGAGTCGAAGCTTCAGAAACCAGCTTTGAGCAAATAGACTCGGGTAAATTCTGATGTTGGAAAGACTTATTTTCTCCTTTTGAAGGCATATGCTATCTGTTAGGATTTCATATAGCTTTTCTTTTGATTTAAAAATGTCTCATGTTGAGTGCAGCAAATCAAAGCTCCATTTAAACTCAATAATATGAATAGACCATGCTTATATAACATCGAATAAAAAGCCTTGTTGACAAGGCCAATTTTTGAATGCGTTTTGAAATCATTGGATGTAAATTTTGTGAAGCTGGTACAGTTTGTGTTATCATATCTATCTCATCCTTCATTGGGTGCCAGCTTTTGGATATGAATAGTCAAGTTTGAGTTAAAATTTGTGTAACTCGTACTATTATCAGGGAAAAAAAATATAAAAACAAAACATTTTAAAAGGGAGGACCATAGATTCTCTTAAAGAAACTAGAGGGAGACTCCAAATTTCCCCAATCTCTGAATTAAAAAGAATTACCTGGTATTTGGTAAAATGATAATTTGAACCTAAAAACCAATGGCTTATGTATTTAAGCAAATAGTCTCCAATGCACCGCCAACCGGGGATGGATCGAGAGGGCGGATGTAGGTTGTCGTCTCTTGAATTTTTTAAATTCTCTTATATTTAGATTTTTTTTTTCTAGTGCTTGCGATTCAGATCCGTATAATCCAACGGGTTTAAACAAATGAATAGATATTGCCTTGTACCGCCTTGTAATTATCTATGAACTACTTATAACTGTTGCGTAAGACGGTTATCGGATATAGCAAAATCGCAACTGATAATTTGAGAAATTAAAAATAAAGATAAAAGAGACACAAAATTTACGTGGAAAACCCCTAAAAATTTAGGGTAAAAACCACGGGCAACGGTAGAAGAATTTTACTATGAGAAAATAGGAATTACAACCTCTCTCGATCTACCAAGGAGAAAACAATGATAATTCTCTCTTGATATAAAAGAGAAAATAACTCAAGAAACTCTCTAAATTCTCTCTAGTATTGGAAGAAAGCTAGAATGTTTTGGGATGATTTTAAAGCTAAATGAGATAGGGTATTTATAGCTAAATCTTAAGGAGATAATCTTATAAATACTCTAAAATTTTAGTGACTAAATTATAATATTTCCATTTATCAATTTTCCACAATTGTTGCTCCATCGAATTAAGCATGTGCATCGAAATTTTTATTTGATTTTTTCAATATGTTTGGCCACTTTACTTGACTTTTCAACAATAACTGCAGTCGAACACTTCTTTAGAGTTATAGCTTTTTTTTTATCCAACTGAATAAATATCATTGCAAACATTCTCAAAAGCTCTCACTCTTAAAGGTTCGGGTCTTTTCTCAATTTAACTTCAAATTACATCATGCCAATAGAGCATGAGTAAGTTTACAATTGAATTATGTATTTTAAAAGAATATAATTATATCACTTTTTTATTAATTATAATAATTATGTCACTTTCTCGTTAGGTGTATAACGAATATTAGCTTTGTAGCTACATTTTGGTTACTCAATTATGAGTAAGTTTACATTTGATCACTCAAATATAATCAATAAGTTAATATCCATTACATATTTAATGACAAAATAACTTGATTGTTATAACTGATAAATAAAGTGACCTTATTCTCACTTTTTTAAAATAAATGACTCAATTGTAAACTCACTCATAATACAATGCAATATATCACGTTACTTTCTACTAAAGTATTAGCTATATAATATATATCGCAATTACACCACAAAAAATTCTGCAATAGCACAGTGATTGAAATTATTCTTTGAATTTCTAGGTTTGATTCCTGTGGAATATTATTTTGCAACTGAAATTTTATTTTATTTTACTTTACTTTTTGTTTTTTGAATGAAAGGAACAAAGAATCAAGGAAACAGCAAAGCCATTCCTGCATGCAGCACGTCGTTGACACTGCAGCAATCCTTAGACAGCAGTAGCAGCATTGTAACAAGCACATTTTTGGTTAATGCTAAAAAATTTCAGTCATTTTATAATCACACTTAATTTTATTTTTAATAGGTTTAAATTTTACGTTTGAAATAACGATTTTGTTCTCGCTATTTAACTTATAAATAGTGGGTGATTTCATTCATTTAGAACATCCCTAAGCAAATGACATCTTGCTTTAGAACACTTTTTCTCTTTTGAGTGTGTTTGAGTTGTGAGAAGAGCAACATCATCCAAGTCCACTTCAGTTTTCGAGTATATGAATTTTTGAAGAACCGTGTTAACCTCAGGAGGCATTCGTCTATTGTAGCGATTACATATATAATGACGAATTCACTTCAATAATGATAAATGTTGTTTTTGAATCATGGTATTCGTTGATACTTTTATCAATAATGCTTTATGGTCATTTATTATTTTATTAAGTGATATATGTATATTGGCCATTTAATCGCTATTAATTTTAAACACAAGGAGAAATTTTTTTGTTTCAGCTTTTAATTCCTTTGAGAGAGGGCAGCTTAAACATTATAAATGTTTAATTAATTATTATTTATAGCTTTTAATGATTTTCATAATGCTCGTGAAAACATTGGTTTTAATATGTCTTATTGAATTGAAGAACAATTTTTAATGGTTAGTTTAGTGTGAGATTAATAACCATTTACAATTGTTAAAGGCCCAATGGTTATGGAAAAGATTTATTAAAAGTTCATAAATATTTTTGGGTTATTCAAAACATTGGAACGATTGAATGACAAAAGTTTTAATTTGCATGTATGATAGTTACTATTTATTTTTTTACGGAGTGTAAGATTATTCAGTTTCTGAATATTAAGATGAAAATAATTGTCAGCTCTTTTGTCCTACTAATAATTTCTCTTTTGTATGAATATAACATGATGCAAGTGACGATGTCATACAATGAATTATTTAGAAATTTAAATGACGTATATCACAATTGCAATTTTGGAGAAATTTGAAACTGAAATGAGAAGATCCTCTAAATCAATGAGTTGAAAAATCCTAAAGACAAGGATTTTATTATTATCAGTATTTTTTATGAAATTTTTATTACGGTTAGTAAATCATTTTTGAGACTAACAATGTAAAATCTTCATTTGGGTGTAGAGTTAACAAATTCAAGAGAGATGTTAATTCAAATGAAGTGGCTGTCATGTTAGATTTTCTGAACCTTTTTGGTTTAAAGATGATGATGCAAAGGTTGAAGTTGCAGGCATGGTGAGAAAGAACAAGTCTATTTGGGAATTATGAGTAACATAGATTTTATCTTTATTTAAAAGGTGAATGATTTAGTCTCTAGATCAGGAATCCGGTTTTATATGCATTGAAAGAGAAGTCTGAGTTCATACTTGTTTTATGTGAGCTTTCAATGGTATGTTCGGATACTGGACTGGATTATCTCCATCTTCGGATGTAAGTATAGCAGCTTACCTTTGGTATTATTTGCATTGTCTTTCTCGAAAAGTGCCACTCGATAGAAGAAAGTCGATCAAAAGTTGCAACCTTTTCGCTCCGGGGCCAGCCTTGAGGACTGTTGGAGTACCAACAACTGAACAAGGATCAGTCCCATTTTCCCCACTTCCTGCACACCAACCACCGGGAGTAAACATTTCTCGGCCCCGAGATAAGAGCTCAGCATCGATTTTGTCCAGCAGTCGGCCATTCGGGTAGAATTTTCTTGCAAATGGGGCATTGCTATCGAGCATCAGTTTCATGTGAACAAGCCTGAGGCGACGAGGATGCTGCTTAGGAGGGTTATCCCATGATATAAAATGGAGATCATGGTTTACTGTAGTATTACGGAATGGCTCTGCATTACAAATGACAGTGTGGAAGTAACCTTCTGGAGATGATACAAAGTTGGTATAGTACATTAGGACTTTTCGAGGTAGGTTGTCCCATCCCCATATGCAATACTCGATAAAAGGGCGAGAAAGTGCCATCCAAGCAGAACCTATTTACAAAGATGATATACTTGTCATATAAGAGTATTTAATGTATGATCATAAACATGATGAGTTATCACTATTATAAACATCCTAATGAAATCACAATTAACAACAAATATCATATAACATGCACGGTACCAATTGGAATATCAAACTCATATTGTGTTGCCTTAAGTTGTTTAGAAAGTCTCAAGAACAGAACCATTAAATAACAACCATACAAACAATGGAAATCAAATAATAAAAATATGTAACGTTATAGCAATGCAGAATCACATGGCTTGAATAAAAAATTAACTTTGAAAAAGTAAAAAAAAATAAAAAAAAAAAGAAATTTTGTTGGCCAAACTTGGAAACAAAACTAAACAATCACCACAGTGCAAGTGCTGCTAGCCTATGTTACTTGGTTGAACTCTATTTAAGACTCTTAGCTCAGTTGAATCTATTGTTCTTTAAAACCATAACAATTGGATTCATTTAGTCTTTACTTCCGACTGCCGGTTTGCTCATGAAGAATCATCAAGTCAAAACTAGATTCCAGTTTCAACCTCAATTCCACCATACTAACAATTGAAACAAATTTGTTCAATGAAATATTATCTAAAATCATCCCTCAAATATTCAGAAATCATAATATAATCAACAACCATACTCACAAAATATGAAACAAGATCCAGTTGACACATAGGAAACAGAATAAAGCACCTAGGCAGTCCCTCTACAATAATCAAAAGTGCAATTTGGTTCTAGTATTATAGAATTAAGCAATTTAAAACAACAAAAATGCTGACTTGAATTTTCAAAACTGAAACTATGAACGGAAATCTGAGGCAAGCATATGTTCTTTAACCTAATAAATTCTTTTGTTACTTTAGTTCTATCTACGGTTCATATTTCAAATTGCAAAAGTACACATTTTCATATAGACGATTTTCAGTTAACACCCTAATAAATTTCACTTAACATAGCATAATACGAAGACGTCCAAACACTTTAACATAGCATAATATATTAGCTAAAAGAACACTAATAAAGTTGAAGCATTCAGCATATTAACCTGTAAAGAGCTTGAATGCAGTAGGAACACTTCTCCTTTCTTTTACCCAAGCCACTTCAGCTTTTTTCAAACTAGACAATCCAGGATCTATAATAACTGGCTTAGCCCTTTGACCCCTAACATTACAACAATAAAACATTCAGTTCCAAGATACCCAGATAAGGGGAATTACATTGTTAAAAGCTTTAAAACAAGTTCTCACGCTTTCCACCCGATTTTGCTTGTATGATCAATGAAATTCAAATCCCTTGGTAAGTTCGAAAATGTATGCAAGAGATCTGAAAGACCCAAATGTCAAAAAAATAAACAAATGAAAGCTATAAACAAAAGGGAAGATTAAACTCACCATCTTGGGTAACAAGGGGATAATCAGAAGCACTAAGATTAATAAACCAATCCCAATCTCCACCTTCTCTCAACAAAATTGCTGCAGCATGGAGCGTATTGGCGACCATTGTAGGTCCTTTATAAGTAATCAAATTAGCCTTCACAATCATCCTAACATTACCAACTTCGTTAAACACTTTATAGCCCTTCACAAACTCCTCCAAAGCGAGCCTCTCCTCGGGGCTAGCTTTCCGGTCGAGATGAACCACGTATTGATTTAAGGGATGGTAAATGGCTAAAAGAACCCTTTTCAGCATATCGCCATTGCCTGCGGAGCCGGAGATGAGGTAGGCGAAGCGGGGAGGTGAAGGCGGGGTCGAGACGGGGGTGAGTTTCAGTTGGTTCTCAACGAAATCGAAGGAATCGCCAATGGCGGAGATGTGGTGAAAGAAGAGAAATGGGACGCCATTGAAATGGGAAAATGTTGAGAAGAAGAGTAAAAATAAAGCGAAAATGGAGCAAAAAACTAATGGCGGGATGCATTTACGCTGAAGAAATTGCATGATTTTGGATTGGAAGAGAAATGAAAAAAAGGAATTGTGAACTGATCGGCGACGGTTAAAATTTGATCTTCTTCGCGAGTGTAAGCAAAGTATTTCGCCAATAAAGAAGTGTGGAATTTTGAATTTAGTCAATTAGGATAAAATAATATTAAGGGTAAGTATATAAATTGTTATAAGAGTTGTTTTATTGAGTCCAAAACTATTAAAAAGTCATAAAATAGTCTTTTGATTATAAAATATTATTTTTTAGTTCCTCAACTATTAATAATTATAAAATTGTCATCTGGTTATTTATAATTTTAAACTTATCATTTTTCGTTAAAAAATTGAAGGTCGTCTAAGTTTGATATTAACATGCTAATCGAGATATGATAAAATTTGATTCTAAAACTATTTGAGTTTTATAGTCATTCGAGATTCTGAGATCATATTTATCATATCTTAATCAACATGTTAATGTCTAGCTCAAACTAACGTTAATTTTTTAACGAAAAATGATGAGTTTGTAGCATATCAATAGTCGAGTGACCATTTTGTAACTTCTAATAGTTGGAGACTCAAAGAAAATATCCTATAATCAAGGGATCATTTTGTAACTTTTAAAAATTGAGAGACTCAACAAAATAACATTCTATAATTAAGGGATCATTTGTATATTTTACCCTAATATTAAAGGGTTAACGTCATGAGGGACTTTCACAAATCTTTTAAAGAAGTCCCCCTATTTTTTTAATTGCTCAATGTACAATTGTACTTTGTTTTTTATGGTGCCCATAGAATAATGTCGCTAATTGTTGATGTGATATGATATTTGATATCCTTTGACATTATTATATTATATTTGGATTTAAAGAAAGTTGGAAAAGTCAAATGTAAAGCCATTTAAACAATTTTACTAATAATTTTGTAAGACAATTGTATATTTATTATCAAATTATACTAAGGAGAATAATCAAATTATATATTTATATTTAATTCACGAAAAAAAATATTATCAGAAAATCATCTTTTATCATAATAGTATTTTTTTATTAAAATGGTGAAAACATCATTACCTTTAAATTATCATGCAAGACAATTTTTGTCACTTAAACAATAATACCCCTAAACTAATGAGTTCTTTTTATAATGATCATTCTTAATTTTTATTTTTATACTTTACTCAAAACTATAAACATTATAATAATATCTTTGTATTGTAATGTAATATAATGTGTCGTATAAGATTTTGGCCAAAGTCTTTGCTGACATTTTTAGATTTATTTTGGGCCATTAATCGCTAATAATGTAATGGTGGCGTTTGAGGATGATCCACCGTATCAAAAACAAGAGCCGAGAAAAAATAGGGGAAGGTGGCCCTTAAAATTGATATCAGGAAGGCATGAGATAGAATTAATAGCAAGTTTTAGGAGTTTATTATGCTTCAGATGATGTTTCAATGCAACCTGGGTGAAGTGGATTAAGTTGTGCATGTTAGGATTGGCCAATACCCTTGTTTCTTTCAAAGCTTCTCAAGATGACCTATGAGGTTTGCATCCAACACGAATCAAATGACCGTAATGGTTAAGAGATTATTGTTATCCCTTGATATTCCGAGTTCGAGTATAACATTTGCGATGATGTATGAACGTTCATTATCAAATATTTAAAAATCTTTTAAATATGTATTACTTAATATTTGCTTGTACTAATAAAAAAATAAAAGAGGTTTTGAAGTCTTATTTATAAATTTCAAATGTTAAACTTTAAATAAAATATATATTATTTAAATGAAAAGACATACATAAACTGAATTTTTTATAAGTAAATAATCATATAATTCTTTATAAAAGGATATCTAAATTTATTCACAGACAAATTTATATTCTTATTAGATGTCATGTCAAACCCACTATTAAATATTTATTTATTTATAAATTTATAAAGTCGTATCTATAGCGTACATAGAAAGATTATGAATAGATAGTGACGGAGCTAACAATGAGTTTAGAGGGGTCACTACACCCCTAATTTGTTTATCATTAAAGATTATAAGGATGATTGCTTGTTTAGGCCTTTAAATTTTGATTTATTTTGATTTTACCTCTATTTTTATTATTAATTATACTTTATCTCTCTTAAACTGAAATCCTAATTTTTCCTCTCTGAATCAGAGGCGAAAGGTGATGGGCACTAGTGGGGTCATGACCCCAAAAAATTAAAAAAAAATAAAGTTTAGACCTTTAAATTTTTAAAACATTTAATTTGGTCCCCGCAATTTTTAAAAACCTATATTATTTTTATTTTTTTTAATATTCTTAGTTAAATCCCTCCCATAATTTTTAAAAATTATCATTTTAAATTTTCAAAAATTATAACTATACCCCAATTTTTCTAAAAAAATGTAAAGTGGACCCTTTACGATTTTTTGAAAATTTTAATTTAAACTTATAAATTTAAAAAAAATTTAAGTTGACTCCCCAAACTTTAGCATCAAATTTCATCATTGCTAATAATTACTCTATACTATTAAAAAATATTTATATATTTATTTAAAAAAAATATTTATTAAAAAAAAGATAGAAACTTCTAGAGTTGTCCTTAGTTCTCTCCGTAGGCAAACAAAATTGATTTGCTAGTTAATCCTAAAATAATAATAGATAGATAGATTTGTGGAAAATACAAGTTGTTAAGGTTTTAACTAGGGTTTTGCTTTCAGCCAAACCAATCAAACCCCCTTTTTATATCTCTGTTTCTATCGCTCGACAATCGAGCTCAAATACAGCTGATTAGTTTCCTTTCTTAAATCTTCTATTTTCAAGGTAATGTTCGTTCTTATTCACTAATCTACACTTGGATTTTCCTAACCCCAAAACTATTAATTTTTTCTATTCTGTTTTTTTATTGTTCGGTGATGCTTGGTATTCCTTTCACTGGATGTGGAGCTTTTGAGTATTTGACACTACGAAAGATAAAGCTTTGAATAATTTCATTTAGTTGAATAGTTTTTTCCCTTTTAGATTTGTATGTAGGTGTTATTTATTTATTTGATTTGATTTTTTTTTTTATAATTTTAGGCTTCTAATTTCTTCACTGTGTTTTTGGCATTGTCATTTTGATGTTTTTATGGGACTTTTGGTTTGGATATTAGTTCCAGAATAGGATATGATCCTCTTGTTTCAGATGATGAAAGCATGACCGTTTTGCTAATGTGATGTTTGCTTAATGTTGTTGCGGATGATGCAGGGGTTTGTGAGAAGAAGATAAGCTTCTCCTTAATATTTTAACGGATTTGATCAAGCCGATAAAAAAGGTTACGTCCGGTATGGAAAATGAAAGTTCTAATGTCTCACGAGCCGGAGAAATAAAAAATCTAGCTAATGAAGCATTTAAAGGTACCGACGAAGAAAGTTTAGAATGTGGATAGTTAAATAAATGTATGATGATTATGATAATGTTGTTTGCAAATTTCATTGCGTTTAATTGTGCTGAAGTTTTCGTTTTGCTTTTATTCAGCGCACAAATATGGTCTGGCTATTGACTTGTACACACAGGCGATAGAGCTTAATAGTCAGAATGCAGTATACTGGGCCAATCGTTCATTTGCTCACGCCAAATTGGAAGAGTATGGTAGTGCCATACAGGATGCTACTAAGGCAATTGAAGTGGATCCTAAATATTCAAAGGCATGCTTTATATACTGAAGCGGCTAATTCTTTTTTACGATATCTATTTGTGTTCTTCTTCTGATGGTTCTCTAACTTACAGGGTTATTACAGAAGAGGTGCTGCTTATCTTGCAATGGGGAAGTTTAAGGAAGCATTGAAGGATTTTCAACAGGTAGTGGGGATATAGTATTGGAAAATTGTTTGTTTCATGTCTTTGGTTGACTTCTTTCATACAGAGGGTGCAATTGTCTGAAATATTTTTCTCATAAATCTTTTGTACATGTTTATTTATTCATTAATAGGTGTAGCAGATATTTTATTGGAAATTCTCTTTGTTTTAATTTACTCTCTAGGATTTATTGTAGAATGTTCCCTCCATTTAAGATTGAGTTTAACAAGTTGTTTCTCTCTAGTATTAGAGGTAGGGATGAGGAATCCGCTAGGTTGGTTAGTTTTTTCATGAATAACTGATTTAATTGACTAACCTCCAACTATAATCAAACTGACTGTCCAACATCGGCTTAATTGACCCAACCGAACCAACTTAATATTGGTTGGTTAAGTCGGTTACCAACCCTTTTCCTATGGTTTTATTTTTATTTCTTTGGGTTTAGTATAAATCCAGGTTGGTTTAATTTAAATTATTTATTATATACTTTTATATATTTTAAATATATATATATATATATATATATAGAATACATAAAAAATAATGTATTAAGTCGGTTTGTTCATTTATGAAATTCTATAACCGATAACTGACTGACTTAAACATTTTAACCGAAACCTATACCGAATTAACCAAAAGAACCAACTTAATTGAAACTGAAAAAACTGAATGTGTTTGTTAAGTTGGTTTTAACTTTTAAATGACTTTTGCTCACCCCTAATTAGAGGTTTTATTGGGTAGTGAGATCTGCTTGGTAGCCCTAGATTTGATATAACTTCATTGGAAGTCTTATAGGTTCTCCATTTTATAAGCTGCACATATGCACACATTTTCTTTTTAGTGAAAAAACGCATATGTTTATGTTGTTTTACTTGAGATCATCATAATATCATTTACTTTCATGTTTCCTTTTTTCCTTTCCCCGGAAATTCATATAATTGCTATACATTAACACCTGAATTATATTTTCTTCCCTCTGTAATCAGGTCAAAAGGATTTGTCCCAATGATGCAGATGCTACCAAGAAATTAAAGGAGTGTGAGAAAGCAGTAATGAAATTAAAATTTGAAGAAGCAATTTCTGTACCCGAGTCTGAGAGGCATTCTGTAGCTGACTCTATAGACTACCATACCATAAGTATTTCTTTTTCCCAATATATCTACCAATTTTAGTTGTCTTCTGGAAATGACCTTCCACATGATGTGATATTCATTAGGATTTTCGTTTTGTTTTTGCATCTATGGTTGATTGGAAATTTTAAAAGGATGTCAAAATATCTACAAATTTTTGTTGATTTCATGCAGGAGGCATTTAGTATGTTTCACTTTTCTTCTGAGAATCTGTGAATTTGTTTGTTTGAAATGAATACTCAGATATCATTTAGGATTAATTGTGAATCTTCGTGTGTCATCTGTTGGTATAATTTGTGAAATGATGTGTGGGGAAGCTTTTTTTTTCCTGTTATGTTTCAACGCCTTTTGATGCTATCACTTTGCCACACTATCCTCTTCTTGCTACTTCATATTTCCTATATAGAATCTCAAAAGTGTTCTTTACAAATAAAACAATGAATGACTAACAGTTAATGCAGTTAAGTTTGTTCAACGTATAGTTTGGTAGCTTGTGACGTAATACTATCTTGCAATTAAGTCTGGAAACAGGATGACATTATCTTGGTGGTGATTCTCTATGTTATATGCATCTGGTATATGTTTTGTGTTGTGGGGAAAATGAGATACTGCAAAAGCTGTTAATTCATGTAACTTCCATTGGCTGTATTAGTCATAATGCTTGGGCAGCAGTAGCCATAAGGGTGGCTGCAGTAGTGCTGATGGTTTTAGGGACATGGTGGTGAGGTGGATCCGCTGGTAGTGGTGTCTTTACTTGAGAGTATAATCTTGAATTAGATTTGACAGTTTGAGCTTAAAGTAAAATGTCGAAGGAGTGTTGCATGTCGGTTTCACATGTTTCAATAACCAATCAGGAAATCTCTCTTCTGGAAAAGTACCATGGTGAATTCATTTAAAAGAAAATGCATTTCCACTGGGAAAAAACAATTTTTGTTGAAATTGTACCAATCAAGTATTTTCATAAGGCTGAAGAGAGAAAAACTAAAGGACCTAACATCACTACTTACAGCTCCTGGATGCAACCATAGAAACACTGGTGAAAACTGGGAGCCCTTTTCTTCCCTGCGAAAATGTACTAATGCTAGTAACATTCTGGTTGGATGCAAGTGGATATTTGATTTTATTGCATCTGTAATATTTTATGCTATACAATTTGGCTGATTTAGTTTATATCTACTTCAGTTTTTTGTTGAGGACTTGAGTCAGAAAGTTATTATACCAATTTTCTAAAAGACTAAGTCACTAAGCTCAATGCCATCTTATATGTTTTAAGTTCAGTTTCACTTCTCATCTCTCCCTTGTTTTTGATCTGAACCACTAGTTTGATAATGTGATGATAGATCGTGTTCTTGCATTCATTGAAAACCCCTAGCCCATAATGAACATAGGATTTGATCCCAGGTCGTTGATGCATTTAGCAAGGGGCATTATCTGCCAGTTCATTTCTATATTCTTCATGACTATATTTCTACGACAACAGTATAGTCATTATCTTTACTTTCTCCATCTCCTTGTGTCTGTCGTCTCTCCACAAAGCAATCAAGTCAGCCACGTTCGCCGCTGATCTTTAGCTGCAGTTTTGGTTCTGTTCATCACCCTTTCTTCCTTTGCTTTTCTTCAACGATAAAGCAACACAAAAGAAATGAGTTCCCGGAAACTTGAAGTGGGTCTTGCTACCCCTCACCATTTCAACCCCTCACCATTTCAAGTCCTCTCGGCAAAAGCCAAGGCTAGCTGCAGAACATGCTTCGGCTTCGCAGTCTGTGGAGGCGGGGATTTCCAAGATACAAACTGCTATTGTGGCATTTGATCGCCTTGTTAATTCCCTAGGTTCACTTAAAGACACCACTGAATTACGTGACAAATTGCATAAGACAAGGCTTGATATTGAGCAGCTTGTTAAAGAGTCTTCAGCTAAACTAAGGGAAGCAAGAGAAGTTGTGCAAGATGCAGAAACCTTAAAGAAATCTGTCGATGACAAGCTTGCAGCTGGGAGGGAGACACCAGATTCATCTTCCGTTCCTAAAGAAGTTCGTCCATCAAGTTATGATGTCCATGTGTTGGAGGAAAAGGTGACCAAGAAACGCGAGGAAGAAGATGAGATGAGGGTTGAAGCCGCAACTCTCGGGGTTAAGGCTGGCCGTCAGTCCAATAGTGGGGATAAAGAGGCTGGAAAAAGTTTGAAAATTCCGGATAAGAAGGCGAATCGAGTGGAGATTTTGGTGCCGAAGGTTACGGAATCGGAGCTTCATAAACAGAGAGTGGAGCAGCAGGCGCCGACTTTGAAGATAATGGAGAAGGCCAAAGAGAAGCAGTGTAGGACTGCGGCGGAGGAAAAATATGAGAGGATGCTGTTGGAGTCCACCTCAAAGGGGTGCAGTAATGATAAGACTGGATGCTACACGTTATTTATTGATAACTTACCAGAGAACATTCACTGGAAGAGGTTTGGATCTTTATTTCGCTCCCATGGTCGGGTTCTAGATGCTTTTATTCCAAATAAAAGAAATTCAAAAGGAGTTCGCTTTGGTTTCATTCGCTTCGCAACTATCGATGAAGCAAGGAGAGCGATCTTAAAAATGAATGGTTCTCATATCGACGAAAGTAAAATTGGTGTTTATTTCGCTAAATTCAAACCTCGACAGTCCTTTTGGAGAAAGTCCTCGACATGTGTTCTTCGCAAGTCCGGGATGGAAGATGTTTCGAGGAAGAATCATTATAAAGTTGAAGGTGTTATAGATGAAAAAAAACTTCAGGTGTTGAGCAATTGTCTAGTGGGGTGGTGCAAGGACTTTGTCAAAATTGGTCATCTTGCCAGACAAATGCAAGCGAAGGGCCTCACTGGCTTAACCTTAATGAGAGTTGCTGGTAATGCGATTTTAACGGTTTTCAAAGACAATGCTTAATTGAGAAGTGTTAAGAACGATAAATCAAAGATTCTCGCAGAGTGGTTCTCCATAGTCGAAGCTTGGTCAGAGAGTTTGGTAATGGAGTGTCGTCGAGTATGGTTAGTTTGCGAGGGTGTTCCTTTTCACGCATGGAATTGGGATACTTTTAAGAACATTGCTGATAAGTGGGGTTTATTACTAGCTATCGACAAAAGTTGTCAGTCTCCATCATCCTTTGATCGGGCAAAAATTCATGTCCTCACAAAGGTTGATGCAAGAATTGATGCGATGGTGGAATTGAAGGTTGGTGACAACTTCTTCAAGGTCATGGTGCATGAGATAGAACCTTCATTCAAACCAAACTCTTGGGCTCTTGAAGAAGACGAGTCTCATTAGATCTTGTCTCATCAATTGTGGTTGTTTTAGTCTATATGGTTGTAGGTGTTGCTTTTAATTTGTATTATGTTCTGTTGCGCTGTTTTATTCCTACTGCTGGTGGTGTAATTAGAAGTAAGGTGATTAGACTGTGGCTTTGGATAAGGTCATATGAGGTTAAGGTGTTTGTTGTAATGGTGTACATCACCATGAGAGGATATTCTGTGGTGTCTTTTGTATTGGGTATTTTATCAATAAAATTTGAGGTACTCTTTTCTTCCTTCCAATGTTTGTTAACATACCTTTAGTATGTGAACGAATACGAAGAGAGTTTTTAATGAGACCTCCAACTTCTATCAAAAGAAAAAGGTAAATGTAATAGCTAAGAGTTATCAATCTGGAAATAATTTTTAAATTAAATACAACATTTGAACTATTGAAAAGCTTTTGAAACTAGGACATGTGCAGTATTCAAAAGATTAAATTTAGCACTTGAGGATTTATTACTAAGAGCAGTACCTATTTGTCAGAGTAATTGTTCCATTTAGTTTTTACAGAGTGTATATAATAGTTTTATGTTAAAGAATGTGGAACTAAATGTAGCAATTCATTCTTGCGATAGAAAGAAGCAGATGCATCATTGTCATCTTTCCAATATGTAAGATGCTTATAAGCATTAAAGTTACACTGATTAGCATTCATATAAATTCAGATAAAAGTCATAAAACATTCTGCAAAATGTTGAAAGTAAACTGCTTGCTTATTTTGGAAGCCATGAATATTTTATCTGCTTTCTTGAATTGTTGAAAGTATCTTAAAATTATTTTATCCTCTGTTCATTAACGAATTTGTTTTTTTTTCTTTTGTTTAAAGATGTGGAGCCAAAATATTCAGGTGCAAGAATAGAGGGGGATGTTGTTACTTTGGACTTTGTTAAGAAAATGATGGAAGACTTCAAGAACCAAAAGTGTTTGCACAAAAGGTATGTCAATTGACTGTAGTTGTGGATTTTGTTCTTTCTAAATTTCAATTTTTTGCTGAATAATATTATTCGTACAGATATGCATTCCAGATTGTCTTGCAAATGAGAGAAATGTTGCGGGCTCTGCCGTCTCTTATTGATGTTAATGTTCCTGATGGCAGTCTTTTAACTGTCTGTGGTGATGTGCATGGTCAGGTATTGACAAGAGGATAAAGGATTTACTGTACTTAAAAGACATGGTTGTGTGTATAGTGTCACCATTTATTAATGTTGGATGCAAGTAACTATGATACTGTCTTGAATACCTATCATTTACAGCTATGATAACATAACTAACACTGGAATAATTAACATCCTTCATTTTTCTTTCTTTTAGTGTTTTTTGTTTATTAATGTGTTTATTGTTCCATTTCTTGTAGTTCTACGATCTGATAAATATTTTTGAGCTTAATGGTCTCCCTTCAGAAGGGAATCCGTATCTCTTTAATGGTGACTTTGTGGATAGAGGATCTTTCTCTGTAGAGGTCATTCTCACACTATTTGCATTCAAGTGCATGTGTCCATCAGGTGAAATCTCCTTCCAAGGTTCTTCTATTCATATTTCCTCTTCGTCCTTTACATGAATTCCAATAGTCATTTGTTTCCTGTTTTTCTCTCCCCTTTCCCCTTTTATACTAATTCAGATATTTTAGATGCATTTTTTCATATTTGCTTAATAAAATTGCTACTGGAGTATTAAGGCACTTTATCTGAGCACTTCTTTTAGGACTCTATCTTAATTGATCTTCTTGATTGGAGACTCCATATTGGTCTTCTTGATTGGACACTTCCTAAATTTGATAATCTTGACTGGAAGTTCTCTGATGTGATCTTCAGGACTACTTGTTCCCTAATAGTATGATATATATACGATCTTGGTTTCACTTGTGTTGCAACTAACTTCCCAATTTTCAGCTATTTATCTTGCTAGAGGCAACCATGAGAGTAAGAGCATGAACAAGATATATGGTTTTGAGGGTGAGGTCAGGTCCAAGCTGAGTGAGACATTTGTGGAACTCTTTGCCGAAGTATTCTGTTATTTGCCTTTGGCTCATGTAATAAATCAAAAGGTTTTTGTTGTTCATGGGGGCCTTTTCAGTGTTGATGGGGTGAAACTCTCCGACATTAGGGCATTAGATCGATTTTGCGAGCCTCCCGAGGAAGGTAAACTGAAAATGGTGTTTTTCCTTCTCCTTCAATTTCTGTGATGTTTGGTGCAATTTCATATATAAAGCAATGACTATTGATTTTTCTTCTTTTTATGTTTAGGAACTAAATTGTCCACATTTATTTTTTATCCTCTTTTATTAAGTTTGGAATATGGAAGTTTCTCTAGTATAATCTCTATTTTATCTATATAATATGATAATGTGACCTAGGGGCATGAAACATCTTTGTGAACTTTCAATGCTCTTTTTGAAGGCTTAGATATCCTTTCCACCTTTTTTAGGAAAAAAACTAATTAAATTATTATAGAGCACAAATTTACCTAAAATGTTTTCATGTTCTCTTTTTTTTCAAATTCTTTTTTGTTGACGGATTAAACTTCATCATTTGTAGTCAGTATGATTATTGATGTATGATTCAATTCACATGTAAAATACGTGTTAAAATAGTCATCTAAAATTGAGCAAAAATTTAGTGTAAAGTAATGATTTCTTCTTTTGAATTTATCTCTTATGGTTCTTTGCTGATTTTATCAAGGGTTGATGTGCGAATTACTTTGGAGTGATCCACAACCTTACCAAGGACGAGGCCCTAGCAAAAGGGGAGTAGGTCTTTCTTTCGGTGGAGATGTGACAAAAAGATTCTTGGAGGATAACAATCTAGGTATTTATCCAATTGTTTGTGTGCTTTGTTTTTAGTGAAAAGCGCAAAAAGGAAATCGATTGATGTTTGTTGTCGGTGAATACATGCTTAATTTACAGATTTAGTTGTGAGGTCTCATGAAGTGAAAGATGAAGGTTATGAGATCGAGCATGATGGTAAACTTATTACTGTTTTTTCTGCGCCAAATTACTGTGATCAGGTTATTGAATCTCAACTTCTTACTTCATAAATAGGATATTTCGTTAGTTTATCATCAGAGCTTGTGAAATCATCTCTTGAATATTTCTGTATGCAACAATGTTGCTTGTGATTATCATCTTGCAAGCTTCATATGGATAGCGCATGTACATGCTTCTGACTTCATTATTTGTATTATAGTCATCGTTAAATGCATTATGTGTTTCCTCCAATGCACATGTTTCTGCATTTTTGCAGGCATTTTCAAATACACGGGAATGTTAAATAGTTTCAGGCATATTGTGGGGAACATCAAGTTTCCACTTTCCACTAGTATTTGATGAAATTTTTTTCCACTTCTATAGTTTCGGGCTGTACATTTTACCTCCTGATTTGCTTTCTATTTATATTATAGATTTTGTAGTCTAACACGAGTCGTCAATGGTTTTTTTTTTCTCCTTCAGATGGGTAACAAGGGTGCATTTATTCGGTTTGAAGCACCTGATTTAAAGCCAAATATTATTACATTCTCAGCAGTGGTTAGTAGTTTGTGTTGCTTTTGCTGTTGTCTACCTATCGTTTTCTTCCGTTTAAAAAAAAGACCATGAATGGAAAGCTTGACTGACTTTCTTGCATATCTGATTTGGTGCACAGCCTCACCCTGATGTCAAACCAATGGCCTACGCAAACAACTTCCTCCGTATGTTCCAATAGTTCTACTCTACCTCTCAGTGAAGTTTTTGCCACATAGTGGCACAATGTTTCGCTATACAATGTCTCTCTTCTGCTCGGTTGTATGATTTTCCGCTCGGTAAAAGTGCCAAGTTTGTTCCTGTCCACGAGGCAGCTGGAGAAGTAAATGTCCGTTATGGTTTCTGTGTTATTGTTTCTTTTTTGTTTGAAGGATTTCAGGGCTGGGGTCTCTCGTTTTAATCAAATCGAAAAGGTCAGTTAAAAGGTGGGGCATGGGCAAAGATTGCTCTGCTTGTTGGATTGTAACATAGGCGACCTCTTCTCTCTTACTCTTTTGTATACATTAGTGTTTTATACTTTGGGAAAATTTGAATAAAATTGTCCAGTGTTTCTTGATATTTCTCTATCTGAGTTTTTGTTGGCATTTGGTATATGTATGTTATAAACACTATACATATCCAACTGTATACCTATATACCTATATATTTAGAAAAGGCAAATCCAAAATATAATCTTTTCATTGGACCAAAAGTTGACAACTTTGTCAATCTCGAGTGAAATGGAACTAAAAGATTTTGAGCTCATATATTCTATCGATTAAGTTTTAATTTTAATAAATTAAAATTAATTTAACCTTCAAATCAAATGTTGTCATCTGTAATGACGTGTATCGTCATTCGATTGGACGATTAAATTTATTTTTGTTTTTCTCACCAATCAGAGGATAACCAGTTCAACCATATAGAATCCGAGGCTCAAAAAATAGTAATAATTTCTTTACCCTGTGCTGTAAGTTAAATATTCATTTAGACTTGAAGTGATTTATTTGTTTCGAAACTTTATCATTAGACATCCTCAGAATGAATATTATCATATCGAATGAATTTAATGATAAACGTAGACTAATGTTCCAACTTTTCTTCTTGGTTGTGAATGTCTAAATTGGACAAAACGTTAAGCGGACATTATTGCATCATAAAAAACATTTAGAATTAAACTAAATTGATCAGAATGTGTATTGTCTATATGTCATTCATATAAAATATTATCTTATTGAGAAGAATCATCAGTCTAAGATAGAAAAAATTATCTATTTTCTATAATAGTTTAATGACTTAAGAGTATTATTACTTATCTTTGTGACATAAAATATGACTTAAGAGTATTATTACATATAATATTATCTTTGTGACATAATATGCTTTCATGAGAATATATTTTCGTTTCAACTTCTTTTTGGTTCATCTCAGGGGTGTTTTCCTACTCAACCAAATGTCCCTGATTCTGAATTCTTGGTTTTGTCTCCACCTCTACCCTCCCATGTTCAACCTGATGTTCCTGCCTCTAATTTACCTTCTTTATTGAGTCCTTACGTTTCAACAGATACCTCAGGTACAGGAAATAGTCATCCTCATGTTTCATCGAGTCCTTTCAGTGTTCCTGTGTCACCCAATGTTCCTGTTGCTCCTCGACGTTCTGGCAGAACATCCAAACCGTTGGCTTGGTTACACAATTATGTGCATTCTGTGCAATCCACTTCACTTCCAGGTTCGTATCCAATTTCTCATTCTATTGCTTATAATCACTTCCCCCTTATACTCAACCTTTTTCATCTGCCACTTCCACTTTAATTGAGCCTCACTTTTTCTGAAGCCTTTAAAAACCCTTTATAGATTCAAGCCATGAAAGAGGAGATTCTTGCTCTCGAGTCAAATGGTACTTGGTCCGTTGTCCCTTTGCCTGCTGGAAAAATTCCCATTGGTTGTAAATGAGTATACAAAATCAAGTGCAAATCCTCTGAGGAAGTTGAGCGATATAAGGTTTGTCTCGCTGCAAAAGGGTATAGTCAGAAGGAGGGCATTGACTATACGAACACTTTCTCACCAGTGGTAAAGCTTGTCACTATTCGGTTAGTTCTAGCTTTGGCTGCCAAGTTTGACTGGTCTCTTCATCAAATGGACGTAAATAATGCGTTCTTACAAGGGGATTTGTTTGAAGATATCTATATGAAACTGCCTGATGGATTTTGCAGTCATGGGGAGAATTTGGTTTATGACTTCATAAATCGCTTTATGGGTTAAAGCAAGCATCACGGCAGTGGAATAAGAAATTGACAGAGGCTTTGATTGTTGCAGGCTATAAAAAAAGTATATTTGATTACTCTTTGTTTGCGAAAAGACAAGGGAGTAGATTAGTACATGTGCTCATCTACGCGGACAATCTGTTAATTACTGGAAATGATTGATGAGTTGAAGGATACTTTGAATCTGAATTTCAAAATGAAAGACTTGAGAAAGTTGAGATATTTCCTTGGTTTAGTGGAAATGTGCTGAACCAAAGAAAATATGTTATTGAGCTTGTAGAGGAAACCGATATAGGGGGAGCAAAACCGTGTTTAAGGCCACTAGAACATAAAACAAGGCTTACTTCTACAGAATTTGACGAGGGTGTATCCAAGGAAGGTGAAGACAGTTTTATGAAAGACAAGGCTATGTATCAAAGATTGATAGGTAGATTGATATATTTGACACACGCGAGACCGGATATCACATATGTCGTTCATCATCTTATTCAATTCATGAAACAACCGGAAACATCTCATTTTGAAGTTGCTTTACGAGTAGTGAAGTATGTAAAACGTGACCCTAGTCGAGGAATTTTGCTGCAATCTTCTGGAGGTTGCCAAGTAGCAGTTTTTTGTGATTCTGACTGGGCTGCTCGTCCCATGTCAAGACGATATGTCACTGTTTTTTGCATCCAGCTAGGAGGTTCCTTGATTTCTTGGAAGTCAAACAAACAGAATACAGTGGCTCGTTCTTCAACAGAGGTTGAGTACATGAGTATGTCATGGCAACAGCAGAGGTAACGTGGTTATGTGGGTTGCTGGATGAGATTGGAGTTAAAAGAGAAGGACCAACGAAGATATTTTGTGATAGTAAAGTTGCATTGCAAATCGTTGCTAATCTTATTTTTCATGAACGTACGAAACACATTGAAGTTGATTGTCACTTTATTCGAGAGAAGATACAAAAATGGGTTGGTGCAGGCATAATACGTTCCAACAACAGAGCAGCCTGCAGACATTTTAACCAAAGCTCTTGGAGTGCAGCAACATATATACCTGATGTCCAAGTTGCGGATGTCACATATGTCGTTCATCATCTTATTCAAATAGTTTATGTATGTTTTATATAAATTGTTTATATTTATATTGATATATATAATTTTAAATATTTTTATCCAAATATATCTCATTTAACAATATTTCTTTATTTTAATATACAATGTATTATGTCTCATAAAATAAAGACATGTTATATGAAAAACGAACAAAAACATATCACGTTAAATGTATCTTTAAGAGTATATTTTGTAAGATTCGTCTTCTACCTATATAGTACGTGTCAAAAATACATAATTATACGAGTAAAAATACTAGTTGAATTATTTTATATATATTAATCTTATGTTCAATCGGTCAATAAATATTTTTTGAAATAAATACATATTTAAACATTTAAAATTCTCTTTAAATTTTACATTGTTTAGATATATGAATTTCCAAATATTCAGTTTGAACCTACATTTTTTAACTAATAAATACATGCATGCATATATACATATATACAAAGTTTGAAATAGAGGTGGGGATCAAGAAGATGGGAAAAGAGGGCCAGTGGCAGTCCTGAAGAGCCTGCCTCTGTGGAACTGAATGTTGTTAAGCTTTTGCTGGCACCAATTGAGTTGAGAAGATGACACAATTGACATCTGCAACACTCTTGATATCAGCTTCATCTCTATTATTGTAAACAACATGGCCTCTTTCTGGGACTCCTCCATAGGCTTCACCACTTTGTTAAACCAGCACCTCTGCTTCCCTTGTAAATCCTTCAACCATACTTCCTTCTGCATCGCAAAACAAAACATTTCAACCCAACGCAGTATTTTACGTCAAGGGACTAATAAAAAGAAAATTTCAGGGGAGACGACCGTCCGGCCAGTCTCTCGGTACTTCCTTTTGTACCTTTCTAAGTGTTGTGGTTAGGTCAGCCAGCAGGTGCAGATCCCTTGGATTCTCCATGGAAGGATAAGACCCTAATGAGCTTTTAAGTTTCCACCAAGCCTTATTCCTATCAATGGTGATGAATTTTCCAAATGCCTTGATGCATTTCTCTATGCCCTTCAACACACCTTTGGCATCCACTGTTTCTCCTTCTTCCCCCACTTGTCCTTCCTCCATATACCCAGTAAGAATATCAGAATTCAGGCCATTTTTTTTAATATTAGAATTCAATTTCACAAAAGTATAAGAATTAAATGTTAAATCATGAAACATATTGGGACATCACATACTTAAACCCATGAAATATCCTGTATGCATTTTTCTGTGGCTGATAGTAACTTTGCAGGATTCTTTTTAGGGTAAATTATGTGTTTAGTACTTAAAGTATCAGTTTTGATCCTTTTTAGTATCTAAACTTTCAATTATTTTAAAAGCATACCTAAAGTTTAGTTTTTATTTCATTTTAGTACATCACTATTAAAAACTTTAGTTTTTGTTTCATTTTAGTATTTCCATCAAAATTTAACGTTAAGTTTTAAAACAATTGAAAGTTTAAGTACTAAAATAGACCAAAACTAATAATTTAGGTACTAAACACATTAAGATTTTAGCGGCATGATACTAAAATGAAATAAAAACTAAACATTAGGTTGATTTTAAAAAAATTGAAAGTTTAAATATTAAAACAGATCAAAACTAATAGTTTAGATACTAAATGCATAGTTTACCCTTCTTTTAAATGCATATCTCCTAAGGCCATATCAGTAAGCAACAAAAATAGTCTTTATTCAACTTGAAAAGTCTTCACGTTGGAATTTAGTGCACAGTTGACATATTGACAAATTTATTTAGACAAATGTGTTTTCCCCCATAAATTGATAATATATGGGTTAATATACATTTTAGTACCTTAACTTGGCTCAAGGTTCAATTTGTTATCTAATTTTTTTCTAAATAGATACATCTCAACTTAGCTTTAACGTTCAATTTGGTACCAATTTTTTTTGGCCCAATTAGGTATATGAACTTGATTTTTCTTTGTTTAAATTGAATAAAATTATAAATACCAATTCAAATCAAGCAACCAAATTCAAGTATCAATTTAAATACTAGTAGAAACCAAATTTAGGTACTAATATATATATATATATATACATCGTGGGGGACATGCGGGGGCATGGTCCTCAAAATTTTATAAAATTCAATTTTAGACCCATTGAATTTTCAATAAGTTTTAATTTTTTGAACGTTATTAATTAAACTCTTTCTATAATTTTTAAAAAAATTCATTAAGCCTCTCAAAATTTTTAAAATTTTAGTTAAATTTCAATTTTTTTGAAAAAAATAAATTGAACTCAAAATTTTTAAAAAATTTTAATCTAAACTTCTAAACTTTTTAAAGATTTAAACAATGTCCCCAAACTCTATCATCAAGTTCCGCTACTTTTATATATATAAATTTAACTCAATTTAAAAAAAAATTAATATAAACATCTAAACTTTTTAAAGATTTAAACAAAGTCCCCAAACTCTATCACCAAATTCCGTCACTTTTATATATATATATATATATATGTGTGTGTATTTATGTATGTATGTATGTATATATATGTATGAATATGTATATGTATATATTAAAAGATTACCTGTTACTTTAGGAACTTGAAGAAGGGTGTTGGAAGCATGTCTTGCTTGAACATAATTCCAAGCTCTCTTTCCCCTATACAGATACTTCTCTTCATCCAAGAATCTTTCCAGCAATACTTGGAAGGTTTCAAAATCCTTGGCCAAATTATCAGCAAACAAGCAGTTGGTGAAGCACAGGAACTTCACTTTTCTGTATTGATGATGCAGTGCCTCCCATGTCAAGCAAGATTGAGCCACATAAACTAGCTCAAAATCACTCTCTACACTCTTCAAAAGCTTCTTCTTATCATTTTTGCTCCATGATATGTAGGGCATGCTCAAATCCTTCAACTCTATGTTGTCCAATGAGCATGGACTCCCAATTTCTTTGTTCAGGATTGCACCTTAAAAAAAGGGACGGAACCAGAACGAAACATTATCGAACTAATTATAAACATTAATAAAATGAAGTTTAAAGTTTAATTGTTAAGTCATATACTCACTTATTCCATGAGTCCTGTCATGGTTCAGGACATCAAACCACCTCATTCTTTCGGAATATTTCTGGTAAAATCCTTCTGATTCATCATCTTCTATTGGTGTAGTTATTACTTCCCTCACCGAAACTCGAGAACTCGAGCCACGAGCCGGTAACGAAGGTTCTTTCATCAACGGCGAGTTGCTCGATGAGCTAAACAACGGTGAGTTGGAGTAACTAAACAACGGTGAATATTCGTTCAAGTACGATTCATCCATGGACAGAGAAGAGTTGCAGAAGAATGACGAACACTCGTCTTCCCTCAAGTCTTCTTGAAGACGAAAGCTAAAATCTTCATAGCCATTAGCATCGTTAAATGTACACCTTTGAGGTTCAACCGATTCAGTCCTCAATTCAATTGATGGCACGCTTGAAGAAACACTTAACCTGATGAGCTGATGTTGACTAAAATTATCATCAGCTTCTACGTTGGAATCATCCTCTTTAACTCTGATAAAAGAGAAGATAAAGAAGATACAATATCTACAAAATTTATGAACACGAGACACCAAAAAGCTAATGATTCTGAAAGGATAAACGAGCAAAGCCAAAATGCATCTTTGCAGCCATTTGAGGCACAGAAAAATTTGGAAAACCAAGAGGAAAAAAGGGTGGATATAGAAACTTAAATAAAACCATCTGAGAAAATATCCACGAGGGATGATTATTGATTCAATGACAAGCCAACAAGAAGCAAGAACAGCCATTCTCAGACTTATTAGTTAAATCTACTGAAACAGTATAAGCTTATTTAAACTTGGTGAAGGCCAAGCCATTTTTTTCCTTAGAAGCTTCGTGTAAATTACTCAAATTCGTTTCGACGAATTTAAGTCTTGGCGGTTTTTACTCAACTCTAATGGATAATACCTTACGGTGAGGTCATTGACTCGTTGACAAATGAGGGAAATAACAAGGAAGGAGGCATGTTGGGCAATTTTTGCACCAATCACTAGAAAAACAGAGGGTAGTTGTTTCATGGGTCAAGATGTTCACTTTCTTTGTCCTTTCACATGTTATAATATACTGTGTCTGTTGACTAACCTTTTAGTCAAACAAATCAAAATGTTCAATTGGTGTTGGCTTACTTGGATCCTATCCATTAGGACAATTGTCCAATGAACCTTAACACGTGCTTGAAAATTCTTCATCGAATTAATCAACTAAACGAGACAAAGCAGCATATGTTATTCTCAAATGAACAGATATATTCCTTTACGTTAAATTTACCCATCAATATCATTATGTTTTTCCACAATGAAGAAGAAGACGGCGAAAGCAAATATGGAAATGTGCAGGCAAATGCAAATGGGACCATGGGCGAAACATCATAGGTCAAGGGAGTTCCGGTCCCGCTAATTATTTTTTAAAATATTAATTAATATTAAAAAAATATTTTTTTAAAAAATTATTAAAACTTTTAATTAAAAAATTATATTTATAAAAATAAAAAATATTTTAATCTCGCTATAATAATTCATAATTTCGCTCCTAAATGAGTAATATCGACTTTTGACTATTTCAATCATAAGCTCTTACCTCACCCGTTGGATAGCCGTTTTATGTCGAAGCATTTCCCACCTAACCTGATAGCTACTAATTAAACAGATGATCAAAGTTCTGGTTATGTCTGTTTTTTTTTTTTTAAATATGACTGATAGTGATCATATATTTTATAAATTTTAAATTTTTATATAATGTAAAAATCTACTTATATTTTTATTGATGATTTAACTCTACATATTATGGTTTATATTATAATGAACATATTGTATATTATATCTTATGCGTAGCGATTCAAGATATCGCTGTTGTTATTCATATTACTCGATATAACAGTGATTCCATGTGATTTCTAATTGTTGTGAATGTGTGCATAAGACTATAATTATAAGATAAAGTTGTTTTTTTAATGGAAGAAACTAATTTTATTTAAAACATGAAATATTTTAAATTATAATAAAGATTTACAATTAGAATAGTAAATTAAGCGAATGATTATGACAATTTCCTATAATCATTCAAAAAAACCAACAATTTAAGATCATAAGGATCATACGAGGAAAGATTAAAAATTTAACAAAGAAACTCGAACAAAGATATATACAAATAGATCTGATTCTATCAATAAACGAACTACAAAGGAGATCTCGCTATTAAAATATCATCACTAAAATCATAAATCAAACTCGAACGACGTGAAGAATTATCCACAAATATAAAATATATATTCAAATTCACTTTAAGGGTCCAAAACAGGGAAATGATTTTCATGATATTTCGTCATTAGCTGACCCTATTCCCATATATATATATAATGGGGTAAGGGGAGGTAGGATAATAGACTACCCCAATATCAGGTTGAAAGTAATTTACGTAAAACACATCCGTTATTAATTTTAATTTACAAAATAAAACTTGTTTACTCAACTACCATTCATTTTCTTATTTCCTCTTGAATTTAGAGGTTACTTTGTGAGCCCAAATGTCAGCCGAAACATAATGATCGCGCCATGTGCCCATGTTCCCTCCTAAATCCAAGCCTACGAAGTAATTTTACGCTTTGTTTCAGGTCAAAAAGTAAAGCAGATATAATTCAGAAACCTTTTACTGTCGAGAGGGGAAACAACCAGAAACCTTCTTTCTTCTTTCTTCTTTCTTCTTTCTTCTTTCTTCTTTCTTTCTTTCTTTTCTTGAACCACAATAACCTGCTTTTGTTCTGTGTATCCAAACAAGGCGTTAAGATATTTTGGCCTTTTTCTTTGGTCAAAGACTGCATGGAAATTGGAAAGCCTGCAACACCGGCTGCTCCCATCAATCTTGGCTCAGTGGTCATGTCTATTTTCTTTTTAGCTTTTTTGACTTTACCATTTATGTATTTCTATTTTATAGCTGAGGTATTTCGTTAAAAATTTGACAAACAAAAACAATTGAATAAAGGAGAAAATGGTTTAGATTAGTTAAATAGAGCTTTCATTTATAAAAAGTACAAACATTAGCCACTCTCATATAGAGGATAGGATAGGGTACCCTAAACCGAGTGACAAAGTGGTACACTATCCAACACCACAAACATAAATATAGTAAGGCAGTAAGGAAAAATTTCAAGGCTCAAGGGCATTTGGGTCCTCCTTCCTTGGTCTTCCAGTTGTTGTAGCAAGGGCAAACAGCTTTGTTCCCATAATATCCCGGGGGCACACACAGGCATTTCTTGCAGCATTTCTGACAGAAGAACATGCATGGCTTATGGTACTGGGTCTTACTGCACCTCCTTGTGCACTGTGATGGACATTCTGGTAAATTCAATCCAATCAAAAATGGAAAGTCATTACCATTAACATACAGTTATAATTGTTGAAAGTTAAAAAGTTTTACTCACGGTTGCTCTTGAGGCTTCCAGGGCCATAATGTTTCTGCAAAACAACACACACAAAAAACACCAAAAGCGTAAGAATTTAACCTACTTTCAAAACCATTATAGAAAAAAGTTTAAAGTTTAGGGTTTAGGGTTTTTACTCGATCATAGTGGTGACCACCATGGCCATGTGATGCCATTACCTAAAACATAAAGACAAAACCAAAGCTCAGTTCTGGAAAACCGGGTTTTACTAAAGAAGAAGGCAATTAGACCCACCATTGTTTGAAGCATAAAGATGAGAATGAGAGCCAAGAAGAAGGCAACGACAAGTTTAGCCATTGGGGTTTTTTTTTGCTGCAAATCAAACCCCTATCACAATGTTTAAAGAAAAGGAGTGAAAAATGGAGTGATTAAGGTAGAGGGAGTAGGTTGAAGAAAGCAGGAATGGGGGGTTGCGAGGTATAAATAGATGAAAAAGGTTTGGGATGTCCTCTACCCCATTTTTCAATATTTATTTTGATTTAAAATTTAATATGAAAATGTTTTGTATAGATTTATTTTAAGTAAAATTCGTATATAATATGATTATTCATTATAATAAATAATTCTGACTATATTATATAATTATTAAAAGAGAAAATAATCTCAGTGACCAAAAATCCCATATAATATACGATTTTAACCAACTTTTTTCGGATTTGCCAAAATGACCAACAAAATCGCAATGCGATCGCTAATTCACAACGCGATCTCCATTATCGCAAATTCGCGTTGCATTTTCGCAATGCGATAGTTGAAAATCGCGTTGCGATGGTCTACAGTGTCGTTTCGATTTTCCCAATTCGCAATGCGAATAAGTAAATCGCAACGCGAATTGGGAAAATCGCAATGCGATACTTACTATCGCAATGCGATAATACAAAATCGCAACGAGATACTGACTTTCGCAACGCGATTCTGACTTTCGCAACGCGATAATACATAATCGCAATGCGATTTTCAAAGCGTCATTAGTATCCTGGCCAAGTATTTTATTTTTAAATTCCAAACACGAATATTAATATATTGGAACACTGAACCGTCCACAGTATATCCCGTAATCGCAACTCATAACCTAAAACCTAAAATCACAACTCAATCCCATCTCCATCTCTCACTCTCTCACCCATCTCCGACGAAATTCGTCCCCATCTCCGGCGAAATCCGTCTATCTCCATCTCTCAAAGCCACCCTCACAATCAGAAATGGAAAATCAACCAAATCAACCAACGAGGGTTAGTTTTTTTAATTATTTTCTTTTTGAAATTTTTGCATTATTATTAGGTTTTTCATATTGAAATTGATGATAAGTTTACTGGTAATTTCAATAATAGATTAACCATTTCACTTAGATTGCTTATTAAATCAACCGAGAATCGCAACGCGAAATGCAAATCGCAACGCGATTTTAGTTTCGCGTTGCGATTCTCTCGTTGCGATAGTCAAACTCGCGTTGCGATAGTCATTTTCGTGTTGCGATTTTCATTTTCAGAAACTATTCTTCTTCTGCAAATTGAAACTTGAATGAATTGCATTACTTCAACCAAAAAATAAAGACAAATACGAAATTCACAGTGTTGCAAATTTAAGTTTGAAGAATAAACTACTACTCTTTATGTTTATTATTGTTTTTGGTATATCTTCACAATGTAGTTTTTGGTATATCTAATTTAGTATGTTTATTGTTTTTGTAGAACTTTTATTCGGCTCAATTGACCTTGAGAAATAAAGTCAGCCTGGCCAAAACAATTGCGTCGAAGCTTTCACCTGCACAAAGAAAAATGTTTGAGGATACATGCTTCGGGCCATGGCTGAAAGTACAACATCCCGGTGGAGATGCGATGTTGACACACCTGTTTCTTCAAACCATAATTAGCGATCTACCAGAGACTATACAACGTCGTGATGAAGAGATATGGTTTGATTTTCCACCGGCGTATACGTGTTTTGGGCGGGAGGAGTTTTGCTTAATCACCGGTCTACGCTTCGGACACGATGATGTAGGTCGGTACACTAGACACATTACCCGCCCATCATGGCTATCCCGGGTTTTTCCTGAGCTGGAGAGGCCGAGTCTACACGTAGAAGACCTGACAAGATTGTTGAATAATAAAGACAGTTTTACTCGGATGGATAACGTCGACGTTGTCCGAGTATGCCTTCTAATTCTTTTGCATGCCGGCTTTTTAGGCAGAGAGGCCAGACAACCTATTCCAAATGATCTAATCAAATTGGTAGAAGACCTAAATGCGTGGAACCTATTTCCGTGGGGCTCGTATTTATGGAAAGCTACATGGAATAAGTTATCGTCTGCCTTGGATGATCGAAAAAGTTTGCATGGCGATTGTTCCAAATACACTTTGACAGGCTTTATTTGGGCCTTTAAGGTAAGAATTTTTATATGATGTTTCCAAAATTATAAGTAATTATTTAACAATTACTAATGTTTGTTATTATATTGTTTGTAGATTTGGATATTTGAGGCCTTTCCCGCCATGAAGACATATGCAATAAAAACTTCAAATGATATTCCCAGGGATATTTCCTGGAAGAGGAAACGGACCTTGCAATGGGAAGATTTACTACGGTATACAACAATAAATAATGTAAGTTAACATAAATACTACCATATGTTTATAAACAAGTTATTACTAGTACACGTTTAACTTTGTTTGAGCTTTTATATTGTTAGGAGGCCAACACTCCTCTACAGAGGCTGACACCCACGGAAGCTGAGCTTGCCACTGATTGGTGGCAAGCTAGTAAGCATTTTTTTGATGGAACGGTTGATGAGCAGCCTCCACTTCGGGAGCCATCACCTCGCCCAGAGCTATCACCTCACCCAGAGCCATCATCTGATCGACCCGGCTATACACCTCCACAACGACAGCCATCACCTATTCTGTCACATCATCGAGCCTCTTCTCCACCATCACCGCAAGATAGGCGACCGGCAAAGATGCCACGACGTTTATCTCCCTGTCCTCCACCTCAATGGGATGAGTTAGGGGAGTTACGTGATGAGGTCAATGCCTTGCGTGAGGAGGTCGGTACTTTACGCAAAGACGATGGTGCATGGCGTGTTGAGGTGTCTACATTACGCGGTGAGGTAGCCGCTCTACGTGAGATGGTAGCATCGTTGTAGAATGAGGTTCATACTCTACGCAACGAGGTAAGTTTAAGATTTTTCATACTCGTAATTCATTCAGTTGCTGCCAATACTGCTAAACTGTTTTTGTTAGTATTTGTTTTTGGTTTTGTTTTTGTCTTTTGGTTGAAGTAATGCAATCCATTCAAGTTTCAATTTGCAGAAGAAGAATAGTTTACTTTCGCAACACGAAAATGACTACCGCAACGTGGAAATGGCTATCGCAATGCGAAATGAAAATCGCAACGACAAAATCGCAATGCGAAATGAAATCGCAACGACAAAATCGCAACGCGAAATGAAAATCGCAATGCGATTTGTGTTTCACGTTGCGATTTTGTCGTTGCGATTTCATTTTGCATTGCGATTTTGTCGTTGCGATTTTCATTTCGCATTGCGATAGCCATTTCCGCGTTGCGATAGTCATTTTCGCGTTGCGATTTTAAGTTTCGTGTTGCGAAAGTAAACTATTCTTCTTCTGGAATGTTTATATATGTTGTCCTTTTAAATGTTTATATAAGTGCTTACTTCTGGAATGTTATCTGAGCATTTTGTGAACTATGATAGAATAATGACTTGGGTGAATACAATGTTAGTTTGAAACATATTTGTCTTTGTTTAATATCATGTCTGTTTATTTACTGATTTATGTATTAATTTTTTTTAGCGGCCCGATAAGGTGGATGCTTTACGTCGGGTTTTCCTTGCACGACGGAGTTCACGCATCAGACGGCGTGGACGTGCTATTACGTCTCCGTTCACCCCAATGGTGCGAAGACTCCGCAAGAAAAAGCCCGACTCACCGGTCATCCCTCAAGAGTCCCCTCCAATCGTTCAAGAGGCCCCTATCCTCCCTCAAGATTCCCCCCCACCGTTCAAGAGGCCACTGTCATCGTTGAAGAGGTCCCTCTCACCATTCCAGAGCCCGATTCACATGGGGTAATATATCGAAGTATTGAGAAACCCCCACCGGTTCCGGACATGATGGATGAGAGTTGGCTCTCGTATGAGTTACCGGCTAGTACCCTTCCGGTATCTGAAGTGGAGAGGAGACAACTACCAGAAACAATTGTGGATAATACCCTTTGGGCTAAGACCGCAGTTGATTTTTATCTACATGAGCGGAGCCAAGGGTGTTACACTGACATCAGCAAACTCAACGATGAAATGTTTTTGTTGCTTGATCGGTCTTGGTGGGGTGTGCTATTAGGGGTTGAAGACAGTGGCTATTTAGATGGGGAGGTAAGTCTTATATTTGTCTTATATATGATTTTGATTAATTTGTTTAAAAATTAATGTAATTCACTAATATATGTATTTTTTTGTAAAACAACATATCGATGCGTGGGTGTCACGTCTACTAATAATAAGGAAGCTTAGGAAAAATAAAAAAATTCGCTATATACAATAATGCCGGCGGCTTTTCACGCAGTTCACTTGAAGAATCAACGAGATAAATCATTTTTGTTGGGCAATGGACAAGCTAAACTTTATCCTGCATGGTGGGAGGTCGATAAGGTTAGTGTTTATTTTTTAAATTTTTTAAAGGTGTTCATAAATAAGTGCGCAAATAAATGAATTATTACTTATGATTGCAGGTGTTTATCCCTGTTTTGGAACGTCGTCACTGGCTTCTCGTCCAACTTCAGCTCCATCCCTGAAGATAATAGTGTATGACAGCATGATCAATTACATATCACTGTCTGATTTGAGAGATATTTTCAAGGGATGGAGCTCTAATTTGGCTAAATTCTTGGATGGGATTAAGTATTGGAGTCATTCTGGACACAAGAAGCCAAAGAAGTTCAATGTCACAGTTGTCAGAGACGAGACCGCGCCACAGCAATCGCCGGGAGCCAGAGGTGATTGTGGTCCTCTCGTATGCATTAGCTTGGCGCGTTTGACGACGGGAAGCACAGAGTTTTTACCTCCCACCGATAGAGATAGAGCTGCAGTAGGCTTGTGGTTTCGGCATTATATGGCTAGAGCAATATATTCGAGACGCTGCCTACATGCATCCGCGTTATGAAAGTGTCCATTGTTAATTGGTAAGTCAAATGCAAGTTTTGTTAACATATATACTCCTTTTGGTTTGAAAATGTTTGGTTAAGTACCTATAATTCAATAATTTGTTGTTTGTAGGTTTTAGATGTGTAGGAAGTCTTGTTTGAGCAAATGTTTGGTTTCTGTAGGTTAATC